CAAGTTTATATTAAATTTGAAAAGACAAATTCATTTTTAATGTAAAATTGAAAGGACAGTTTAATATTGAATTTGAAAAAACAAGTTCATTTTTAATTTAAAAAGTCAGGTTCATTTTTGATGTAAAATTGAAAAGACATATTCATTTTAAATGTAAGAAAAACAGATTCATTTTTAATATAAAATTGCACAAGTATACATCAACGAGTTAAAGACAGCATCAAGAATGTGCAACTTCACTTTGCACTTTAATTGTAAACTATATTTACGCACAAACTAAATGTAGTATTATTTAATTTTTATATTTTCTTACATCGATATACAAATTTACTATATGCAATAACATAAAGTTATTTCATAAAGTTACATAATAACATCTTTAAAGTTTCATAATAAAGTTACATTGTAACATCGAGTTTACAAAATAAATATTTTGTCAACGTAATTACTGTACCAAACTCGAATGTAACGAAATCGAAAATGAAATAAAAAATAAAAACCAAAAATTGTTAAAAAATTAAGAATTGTTCAAAAGTCAATTACACAAAAGAGAATATCAGATGTAACCTAAGTTGCCTTCGATTTTAATCGATATACACCTACCTTCAAATACTTATTTTCGCAAATGCAGTCTGACAAACATGTTCTCACAAATAAAACGACTCTTCAAGGATTTCAGTTTCCTCGTGAAAGTTTTCGAATTGGTAAAAACAGACTATAACAAAATATTTTCGAGATCCGATAAAAACTTGTTGATGATTTAGCTGATAGCGTGTGTCTGCCTGCGCGAGCTGTCCAAATTCAATGAGTACCTGATTCCAAAATGGTTGTGGATTATTTACTGCATCGATTCGTTCACGTACGCGATCGTGTACTTTTGTATCGCGTTGACGCACGTGTTTGAGCAACCACGAAAATTATCAGTCAGTCCCACAAGATTTTTAGTGATAAAATAGATAAGTAAAACTGTAGTCGTTTAAACCCATCACTAGGTAGTGATGGGTCAATCCGAATAGATCACTTTGGACGTCTATCTACGATTTTGCTATAATCAAAATATGTTGTAGTCCACGTGAAATTAGAGGGGGTTTAAGTCATCATTTTGCCGGTTTCGAATTTGTTAAAAAAATAACAAGCCTTCAAAGTTTGCAATTTTTGCGTAAAATAGACTTCACTTACGAATTTTTTTTTCGGAAACTACTCAACCGATTTGGCTAAATTCTTGTTTGTTTTATTCACAAAGGGTTGGGCTATTTTAAAATATTTTTTTTAATTCCATAGATTTGTTATGAAATATCGAAAAATTTAAACGAATTCTTTTTTTGCGTTTTTTTTTCAATGAGGGGCGTAAGGGTTTAAGTTTAAAAAATAATTTCTCACCACATTTTTGTGAATATTTATAGGAATTCACGTACTTTTCAGTGGGGGTGATTCTCAACTTCATCGGCGGAGTCGCAGGAATCGAGAGAGGACGAAACGAATATTTGGACACTTCCGAAAATCGGAGCGAGTTGAAAATTGGCTTACTGCTACTAGGTGTTTGCTTAATAAAACCACTGACTGACTACTGACTGAACCACTGACTATGCAAAAATTAATTGTGCTTCTACCACTTTCAGCCAATTTTATCGGCCTCTTTCTGGAAGTTGCGTACATGATCTACAGTGAACGTAAATCGACACGGAAACCGAATCGTACCAGTCTTTAAATATGTAAACATGTAACGCATTTGTACAATTATAATTTTATAAAATCATATATAAAAATATTATATGAAATTTTATATGCAAATAACATACGAAATCGTATGTGAAAATATGATCATTGCGCAGTTAAATCGATTGTTTGAATGTTCAGACGTATGATAATATTAAACAAAATATCGTCGTCAATTTCGTGAACGAATTATTTTTCATTTGAAGACAACAGTGTTATTTAAAGAAATGGGGAACATACCGGTCCCTTTCACACATCTGAGAATAAATTCTTGGACGACTGAGAAGAAATTGTTAATATGGAAAACAGTGTCTATGGTTTGTTTTATGCACATGTATATTGTTCAACATTTTGTTTAAAATCAAACGCTTTTTAGGCTGCCTGTATAATTGGCAGTGTAATATATCTGCAACCACTAGAGCCATATTTCGAGATGCCATTTTTTGGGATTTTGGTACCTACGTTCATTACAGGGTACATTGTTATACATTCCTCAGACATTTACTTTCTGGTCATGGGAGAGGAATATATCTTTCTCGTGAGTAAGTGACAAAGTATAAAATATTATTTATATAACTTGTATTATTTAATATTAACACTAGATTAAAGGATCTCTTATTTTTATTAAGAAATTTTTGTAAAAATGTGTGTCAACTTTTGTCAAGCTAAAGAATTAATGTCTTAGTTTCTCAGACAATTTATTTATTTTTCTGATTTAAATATAAGTGACCGTAAAGCTAGTGTTAACAGGGGGAGAGATTTTAATTAATGATTCTTCTTAAGGAAACATGCTTCTCGGTGATTGGTGCAGTGGGTAACCTAGTGTGTAGCGGTTATCAATTTTACAAATGGATAACGTGGCTAGAGGACACTAGAGAGGATCCTAACGCGGATGACGAGTACGTTTAATTTTTAGTTATTTATTACTTTCATAAACTTTGAAGGTAATTTTGGTTGAACCATTCACTGCCAAATGTAGTTTGTAGATTTTATTTGAAGCAAAATAGATTTTATCAAAGTATAATATTTAGTAATTTTTTGCTTGAACCATTGACTGCCAAATGTAGTTTGGAGATTTTGTTTGAAGGAAAACAGAGATTTTGACAAAATATATTTAGTTGTACATTCAAGTACTATAAGCTGGGTTTACAGTAATAAAAAAGACACTATAAAATAGTTGGTGGTGGACGGATTAAGGCGGTTACAATTATTAGCAAATAGTTGGAAATTGTTCTACTCGAATTTCAGTACTCCAGAAGTAATGCTGGCATTTGCACTCTTACTTCATTCTGTCTCTCTAATTGCCGTGATGATTCATCGTTTTCTTCATTGGCGTCAGTCGTTGAACACCGGATCTGGACATTGATCCACTTTTCCAAAAACCACGTAATATATCCTCTAAATAAAATTTTTATAAAATATGACCATAATTTTGTTCATAGTAAATGAAGAATTGGAGCTGCAAAAATGGGATCCAAACTTACAATATGATTTTTTCAAATCAGAAATACGATTAAAAGAATTAAATTGAAATCAAGGCAGATTAAATAAATGAATTAAAAGTAAAATAAAAAGATTTAAGTAAATTTAACGTCGAATTAAAAATACATAAATCAATTCAACATTGTATTAAAAATATGTGTATCAATTTGAAGTAAAATAAAAATACTTTGATTCTGTTTAAAATTAAATGTAGTTATAGTGGGTTTAAAATTGAACAGAAAATATTAGAATCAATACAAAATTAAATACAGAAGGGAATATATAATGTGTAGAATAAGTAAGAAGAAAAATATGATACAATTGAAGCAAAGTTTTATGGAGTCGTCTTATAAGAAGAGCACGGTGTCCCATAAAGGGTCACAGCAACGTCCACGATATGCATCAATTAATCTACTTGACCTCCTAATTGCCTTGAATGACCGGCACAATCGTACACCCACGATCCGGATATATAATCCCTTTAATTACATACTCTCTCACTAATTTAACCCTTCTTAGACCTAATTTGACCAACAGGAAAAACGTGCACCATACTGACCTTTTTAACGCTGTAGTCATTTCTTAGAAATTTTCTATAAATAAACTGATCAATTTTTTCTGTTGCTGAGATTTTATTTTGGGGTTTATGAATTTTTTGAATTGTATATTTTGTAGCTTTTTAATTTGAGATTTGGGAATTTTTGAGGTGGAGAGATTAGGGTTTGGAGACTTAGGGGTTGGGGAATTTCCAGGTTTGGGAAGTTAGGGATGTGAGGATTTAGGGATTTGGAAATTTAGGAGTTGGAGAATTTAGAAATTTGACGATTTAGGAATTTGGAGATTTAAGAGATTAAGGATTTGAAAATTTAAGGATTTAAGGATTTGGAAATTTAGGGGTTGAAGAATTTAGGAATTTGGAAATTTAGAGAACTGGAAATTTAGAGAATTGGAAATTTAGAGAGTTGGGAAATTAGAGAGCTGGGAATTTAGAGAGTTGGGAAATTAGAGAGCTGGGAATTTAGAGAGTTGGGAAATTAGAGAGCTGGGAATTTAGAGAGTTGGGAAATTAGAGAGCTGGGAATTTAGAGAGTTGGGAAATTAGAGAGCTGGGAATTTAGAGAGTTGGGAAATTAGAGAGCTGGGAATTTAGAGAGTTGGGGACTTAGAGATTTGGGAATTTAGAGAGTTGGGAAATTAGAGAGCTGGGAATTTAGAGAGTTGGGAAATTAGAGAGCTGGGAATTTAGAGAGTTGGGAAATTAGAGAGCTGGGAATTTAGAGAGTTGGGAAATTAGAGAGCTGGGAATTTAGAGAGTTGGGAAATTAGAGAGCTGGGAATTTAGAGAGTTGGGAAATTAGAGAGCTGGGAATTTAGAGAGTTGGGAAATTAGAGAGCTGG